ATATATATATATATATATTAAAAATTTATAACTAAATAATTAAATCATTAAAATTTATATAAAATATTAAATTATTAAGTAAAATAAATTTATAATTTTTTTTTTAGAGTTAATAGATCTTTCTTGTATATATAAATATATATAAGATAATTTCATTGAATAAGACTGACGTAATGTGAACCGCGTCATGTGATATGACCGCATCTACCTCTCAACAAGACGAGTTTTGTAATGTACACATCAATGCACATTTATTTACAATTAAAAAAACCAAAATGGAACGAGTCCTCGGACATCCTAAATATTAAAATCTTGGTTCTTGCATACATATCCTGTAACAGTGATGAGCAAGACCAGTTCAAACAAATCAAAAGTCTAAATTTAAGACTTTCATTTATTTTTAATAAGGATTGCCAACAAAGTCTTTTGGGTCTTTGTTTTGCCGATAATTGCGTGGTTGTGCTTGTACTGTGGGACTCAGCCACTAATATACTGCTTGGCAGATTGAAACATCAACTAGGAAGACTGGGCAGAAAAAGATCTTCTTACAATAAAAATGAATGCGATAAAATTTAACAAAATTTAATTTTGATTTTTATTATTAGTTCTAAAAATTTCTAACAAAATATGTATAAGATTATAATGAAACATTTTTCACTATAAAAAGTTATGAAATTATACATATAAAAAATAGTTAAACTAATTTTAAAATAAGATGTGATGTGTTTTATAGGATGAGTTCAAAATATCCATCAAGTCATTCCAATATGATTTTATGTCCTAGATTCTTTGATAAAATATTTTGTTTTGAACAATGATATATTAATAATAAAGTCATTTTATTTAATAGATAATATTTTGTATACCATAATATCATATTCATAATGATATTATTTATTTAAATATATATACATATTATTAGTCATTAACTTTTACTCTAATTAAAAAAAGTTAGCACTTGTAATTTTTAATTCTCCACGTGTTAAAAAAAAATATTTTTGTAACATTGTTTATTTATTTATTTATTATTATTCCTTTCTATGACATCATCAATCTTAACCTGCACACGTCTTTATTTTATGAATTGTAGAATTATTTATTTATTTATTTGCAGTCTATAGTGATTATAAAACCAAGCTTCTGGGTTCAGAAGGTCACACACTCTCCTTCGAACTTGAACCCAATAATCTACCTTTGTTCTTTCCTTGCATTTGAAAGTTGTAAAAATGATATTGTCGAGAGTGTGGTTAGTGGTGACGTTAGCAAAGGCCATGATATTCTCTGGGACTTGTCCAGAGCCATAGTTTATGCCATAATGGACAAGGTCATCACCTATTAATATTTAATTTAATTCTCTTCTTTAAATTTATTTTTCTTCTTCTCATATATTCAGTGTGACGCTTGCAGGGTAAGAAAACAGTTCCAATGAAATGTGGTGAAAGAAGTGATTGTCTGCAACTAAAAGATCCTGACATGTTAAAGGACTTATATGAGCTTAAAAGATGATTGACACGGACTATGCTTTTTAGCAAAAACAAGGTATCCTTCCAGATTATCCGATGCTGGATTCGTTGAGGAGGATGTCCTTCTCAGGGAGAATTGTGAGGTAACTTGCCTTATTATAATTTTTTTCCTTCATTAACAATCAAATTTTCACTTCATGCATCTAATCTTTACTTCTTGTACCCTTTCCAACATGGATATAGGATATATATATACTCAATGTTCTTTTGTTGTGGTATAATTAAATTTTTTATTTTGAACATATAAGTGAGTTGATATATATGTTCTTAGCTATAAACATCTATTATAAATACTTGGTTAAAGTATTTTTTTAATTTTTATAGTTTAAAAGAAATTTAGTTTTTATATTTAATTTTTTTAATCCTTATAATTTAAGATAATTTTTTTAATCATTATATTTATAGTTTTGTTTAATCATTTTAGTCGCTATTGTTAATTTTTTTTATAATGTTATTGTTTTGTATTCACGTAATAAAATTCTTTAATTGCGTGAGAATAAGAAAAATGATGTCTTAATAATGAGTATCGCAAATAAAGATAAAAAAGAGTTATGAAGTGTTAATAATTTAATTTAAAATAATTTTAACAAAACAAATTTAATATCAAATATACAAAATTAAATTAATACATTTATTACTTCAATACAAAAGAGATAATTTTATATAAAAAAAATTAACAATGACTTAAATGGTTTAAAAAATATAAATATAAAAACTAAAAAAGATCTATATACAATTATAAAGATTAAAAAATATTGAAAGATAATTATATAAACTAAAAATATTTATTTTAAGCTATAAGGACAAAAAAATAAGTTTAGTAAATTGTAAGAACTAAAAAAATATTTGAACCTAGATATTTTTAAAAAATTTATTTATTTATAAACATTGCAATATTGATAATATTTTTTTAATCTTTTGTGAGACCTATTTTTGTAAAAATTATATATTTTAACTGTTAAAAAATATAATTCATCTTTCAAAGATTATTAACGTATAAAAATTGTAAAGCTTAAATATGTGTATATATATTGTGTTGGATACTATATATATGTTGAACATTAGTTATATTGGGTGTCCGAATTGGTGTCATGTTTGATGTGTAGGTTGATTAACTGAAAATAATAATGTCAGATTCTAGTGCCCGCTTTCACAGTTGTACGTGATAGAGATTCAAAGCTTAGAAGACACACTGACAGATGCAATGGGTGCTCCTGTTCCCTTCGAACATAAATTCATTTGCAGTATCAGTCACGATGGTGACGTTACGAGGAACACAATTTCAGGACAAGCACACTGTGGCATGGTTGCTGCAGCTGATTGGATTGAACAGCATTGCACTTCTATACTACTTCGTGCTCTTCGTGATTACCCCGACTATAAAGTCAAGGTTATATATTCTTAATTATTACTTAGTTTCTTATTAGCTTTGAATCAGACAAATTTCTACAAAAACATGCACTTATAAAAAATTAAAACTATTGTATTCCCTTTTTCATTCCATATCTTTATTCCTATGTTTTCACTTTGAATGCCATATTCTTGCTTCAACTTTCATTTTATCTAATCATGTAATGGCTATCCAATATTTTATTTTTACATTACATATTATAATTATAATAATCTTAATTTCCATAGATCGTTGGGCACTCACTTGGTGGTGCTACCGCTGCACTGTTGACATATAGGCTTAGAGAAATACCAGAGCTCTCTACCTGCAATTGTGTCACGTTTGGCCCAGGCATGTACTTAAAACTATATTAACTTTAATTTAATAACACATAAAATTATAATTTGTAGTCTTTGACAAACTCAAATTTTGGGTAACTACGTTGACAAGATATAAATTATTTCATATGGCAAAGTCCTTTCCCCGGCCCAATTTTGATGATCATTATTTCTAAGTCTTAGTTTTATAATTGTAATTTTTGCAGTTGCTTGTGTATCATTGGAGTTGGCAGAATTTGGGAAGTCCTTTATCATTTCTGTTATAAATGATTCTGACATAGTGCCTATATTATTAGCTTCTTCCATTAGTGATTTCATTTCTGAGGTGCTCCAACTATAGTTCTCCCAACTTAAGATAGTTTAGAAAATATTAATTTAAATAAATATAATTTTTAATAATTTTTTTGTTAGAAAATGTTTCGTTTTTTTGCTCGAGTTAAATTTTATTAGGTCACTGACTCACTGCATAATATTGACTGAATAATTACAGGTTAAGATTAAGCACAAAGCATTGCTAAATGCTGCTCATAGAGCTATAACTGCCATTGAATCTCACTTACCACTTGTATCTGGTGCTAAAGCAATTGCAAATCATGCAGTAACCAGTGGCGCCAAGGTAGCTTCAAGTTCCCGTATATATGTGTCCACATTATTAGTATATGTTTGGATCTTGGAAAACAAAATAATTAAATAGGAAAAAGAAAAGACAGATAATTTTTTTTTCGTCGGTTCAAAAACAAAATAAAACTTCAAAGTTTTTTCCTTCCATTTAAATCTTAAATTCTTTTTTTTTTTCCTTATTTTCTTCCGACATTCAAAATACAACATATATATTAAGATGATATTGAGAAAAATCTAAGTTCCACGTCGACTAAATATAAAGTAATAAAATAATATATAAGTGAAGATTAATTCCTATCTTATAAGTTGATTTTGTAATATTGAGTTAGACTCAAATTCATTATTCTCTGATAGTATCAGAACTATCTTTGATCATTAAAAAGGGTAAAAAAATCCAAACCTCATATTATTACCGACAAGATGAATTTTGTGTTAGATTCAGCAACAAGAATTAAAAAAAAAGATTTTATTTTTAAATTTGAAAGACAAAAATAAACTAATCCTAAATTTAAGGGATTATAAACATTTAATTTTTTTTTAATTTGCTTTCTATTCATGTTATTTCAAAACTCTCCTCTCACACATTAAAAGTAGTCAACGATGTATGGGAATACGGTCTTCTATGTTAGTTTGACTAAACTCTAACAAAAGTTTGCTTGTGCAGTTAATAAAATATGAGTGAATAATTGACCATCGATCTTGATAAATTAATGCCATAGTTCTGGCTATTTTTATAATTATATACATTTTTTTTGCATAGGGATTTCTCACATTATATATATATATATATATATATATATATTAATTATCCTATGTTGATATTGATTCTTCTTAATAATGTCTACAACGGTTGATGAAGCATAAAAAAAGAGTTCACTCAATATTACATTGGTCCCGACATGAGAATATTGTCTCATCGTCAAACTCTAAATCAAGTAACGAAGACGAATCTAATTTTTCTAGTGATGAATCTGACTATGATGGTGACGCATTTGATGAAGAGGATGAACAAGTCATATCTGGAGAAGAGTTGCATGTTGAAGCTATTGGACAAGCTTGAATTGGAGAGTCAAGATATTACACTTAACATGAATGTTCAGGAAAAAAAAGAAGCCACAACCAAAGAAATCACAGAAGAGAATCGTGTTGTTCATAATGAAGAAAAAGAATGTGCAATTTCAACGTTAGACAACTCCGGGCAAGATTAGGCATATTGTCCCTTCACGTTCATTTGGAAATTTAAGTTCAAACCACAATGGTCCAGATGAGAAACGTCTCTACTTATTTGAAACGCCTAAACAATTATATGGGAAACTTAGACTTTTAAAAGGGGTGATATTTGATCATATGACAAACAAGTATAAAAAGATGTTGCATCAATTGATCGATCAATTAGAAAACAAACACTACCAATACGGTGGATGATGAGATGAAGAACAACAAATGGACAAGATATTAATTAGGTACTAATAATTGGCTCGTGGATATGTAGAATTAAAATTAGTTTTTTTTTATAATATTTTTATTGTCATGTTTTTTGTGTGTATCAGAAGTGTAATTGTTGTTAAAAATATGCTTTAATTCGTGGCTGAAGTGGATAGCTTAATTTTCAGCCATTTGTTATTTTTGCTTAGTGGAATTCAATGTATTATCCGCATGTTTAATCTATATATATAATTTGATGGTATAATTTGTAGGTATTATCTATATATCTTAGTATGTTAGTATTATATATTTGTATCATCTGTAAATGTATTCTATAAATGTGTGTATATTATTGCTATAAGGGATGAGTAGTCATGTGTAATATACAAGAATGAGAATAAAATTTCTCTATAATTAATTTTTACTCTCTGTTATTTGTTCTTGTTTTCGTTGTGTAAGTGTATGTGTGTCATTCCCAACAAATTAGTATTAAGAGCTTGTTGATTACAAGGGACATATGGGTGGTACGTGTGAAATCCACTAGGTTGCAAGGCATTCTACTACGAGAGAAACCCTTTCTATTATGTGAGTTTCTACTATCCATGTATGGATACTTCTACTTTCTTACGTAATGTTTGAAGTGTGACACCCTCTACCCCAACATTAATACACAATAAATGTAAAAATAATTTTTTTTCTTTTTCTTTTTGAGTAAATAAAATCTTTTATAATTAACAACATCTTTCATGGATAAAATAATTGTCTCAAATATCATAAGGTAGAAGATTCACATTCGTAACTCATAAATCATAGAAAGTCATCATGTAAGTATTAAAATTCAAGAAATCATATAAAGAAAATATAGATTAATTCCAGCAAAGGTGGCAGTGCCTCCTAGTTAGGAATTAATTTATAACTTTCAAAATTATGTAATAAAAATAATATGACAAAGATAAACATTTTGATCTTTTATCAAGAACATTCAAAATTACAAAAGAAGAGTATACTAAGGCTTTTAAAACAATAATATCCCAAACTAAGCCTAGTTATGCCCGATGTCACATCCTATCAGAGCATGCCCAACTAAACCCTTAAGCCTCATCACCAACATCCTCATGATGATGATCACCTACAACATAATTTAAATATATACAAGAATAACAAGGGAGTGAGAAACATCTCACTCAGTTTCAGGTGAAGAAATAAAGGTTAGATAACACACACACATAACAAATATAAGTCACATGTAGATAATACATATAAATAGTCAATATCACATATATACTCATTTATCATGCTATGATGTCATGGACTCGACTCATAAATGCATGTATGTGGCGCCATAAGGAAGTTTTACAATTCATCATCACTGGTGATCCTAAGGTACACCTGGTTACATCACTGGTGACCCTAAGGTACACCTTGTTAACATGTTACAACTGTCGGTGACCCTAAGGTACACCTTGTTAGCATGTTACAATTGTGGGTGACCCTAAGGTACACCTTGTTAGCATGTTACAACTCTAGGTGACCCTAAGGTACACCTTGTTAGCATATTACAACTATTGGTGACCCTAAGGTACACCTTATTAGCATGTTACAATTGTCGGTGACCCTAAGGTACACCTTGTTAGTATCACTGGTATGTGGCCTCAGCAGCACACCTGGAGTCATATATGCATATGATGCATGTCATACATTCATTATTTCATTGACTCAACATTTAACTTATTCAAGAATTTCATTAAGTACATCATGTTCATTTTTCATATTCTCATAATCATAACTTGTCTTCAATAGTCCATTCTTATGTCTCATGTCCTTTGTACATATTTCACATGGTCATGTCATAAATACTCCTCATAAGGTCTGCATAGGAATCCACAGAGAACATTCTTATTCATATTAAAACTTATTTATTTTTTAACATTAATTACATAATCATTTATTATTTCCAACAAGGAACAAAGTAGAGCAAACAGAAAATAAAACAAAACAACAAGCAAGGGATTGGGGGCCAATCCGACAATCAAACTATCCAACAATTATCCCCACACCCCTGAGCAAGGTTTCTCACTCCCCCCTTACCTGGATAAGCAGGAGCTGGAACTTGGGCAGAACCTCCTCCTCTGGATTCCCTCTTTCTTTCCCTCTCTTTCTTTCTCTTTCTTTCTCTTTCTCTCTCTCTCTCTCTCTATTTCTCTCTTTCTTTCTCTTTCTCCCTCTCCCTCTAAGATTTTCACTTTCTCACTAAATTATAAATTTTTTTCACCCCCTGCCCCTATTTATAGGCATCCTGGTGTACCCGGAACGACCCGTACTGAATCCGGAATGGCCCGTTTTGGATCCTTCGAATATGTGCAAAATTTTCAACTAGAACGGTCCGTTCTAAAATCAGAATGGCCCGTTTCCAAAAAAGAAGAACGGCCCGTTCTGGGTTTCCTTTTAACATACATTGACCTTTACTGGAATGATCCTTTTCTAACTAACCTTTTTAGGCATTTTTAGAATTCCAGAACGGCCCGTTTCCCTTTGGGAACGGCCCGTTCTGGAGAAATCAAAATAAGTCTTTTTACTACATTGGAACGGCCCATTCCACTTTTGGAATGACCCATTCTACCACTACAAAAACAATTTATTTTCTTCTTTTGGAACGGCCCGTTCCATTTTTGGAACAGCCCGTTCCGGCGTAAAAAAATAGAATTTATGTAAAAATTAAGTTTTCATACAAATAATAATAATTAATATTATATCAACAGAAAATTCAGGGTGTTACGATTCTCCCCTCCTTTTTAGAAATTTCGTCCCCGAAATTTACCTGAAAACAGAAATGGATAAGCTTCTCGCATCTTGCTTTCTAATTCCCATGTAGCCCTTTCTTCAAAATTTCCTCCCCAAACAACCTTAACCAAAGGGTTTTCCTTTCCTCTTAGTTGTTCCACCCTCGTATCATCAATCCTTAAAGGAATCGTTTCATAGGTGAGATTATCCTTCAACTGAATGTTGTCAGACTCAATGGGGTTCGCTGCATTCGACGAGGAGGATGTGCTCCTAAGGAAAACAACAACACGGGTATATATTTAATTTTTTATGTATAAAAATTGAATCAATATATATGGATACATGTATTTAACTTAAAAAATACATTACAACAAAATTGTCATATAGTGATACACACTTAATATTGACATTATATATGTCACTAAAAATTACTTTTACCCACACAATAACTATAATATATGTTGGTATATTAATAAAAAGTGTGGGTATAGACTATAGTGATACACAAAATATGTTTTTAAATTTCATTCAAAATCAACACTAAAATTATGTAAATATATGTCAAATAAATATATACCTATATATATATTGTACCTATAGTAACACTTTTTGTATGTGTAACATTTCTTGTAGTGATATTTTGATGCATGTGACCAGATTCTAAGGCCTGCTTTCATAGTTATACGTGATGAAAAATCAAAAAGTTTGATTGTGTTCATCCGAGGAACTCGTAGCCTGAGAGATATGTTGATAGATGCACTATGTGCTCCCCTCTCCTTCGAACACATCATTTACAGCCATGGAAGTGAGCAAAGTGGGAACAAGAAGGTTTCAGGACATGCACACCGTGGTATGGTTGCTGCAGCTTTATGGGTTAAAAATCGTTGCATTCTTGTACTTCTTGATGCTCTTCAACTTCATCCCGACTTCAAAATCAAGGTACTACATTCTTGGAAAATTATACACTGGCTAATCTAACTTTTAAAATTCTACATTTTATCATTTAATATTTAAATTCTCGTACCTCTTGTATATAATAACATGTTAATCTCTAACATTAAATGTTGATTGTTGACTTACATCGATGATGTTGCATATGCATTACATGATATAATATATGTAGTAAATAATCAACCTAATACGTTAACAATTACCTATATTATTAATGGAGTGAGAAAATATCTAATTTCGAAAGTTTTGTTACAAGATTTGTGAAATTTTTATGGAAAAAAGTACATTTAATTCTTTTTCTTGCTTAGAATGGATACAAGTGGATACTTTATTCTACTCAAGAAATAGATGACATTACATCAGCAACTAATATTGGTCCAAAATGTGAGGGATGACCTCATCCATCCAGTAAACCTCTCTAAAATCAAAAGCAGAACCACCTAACCCTTTTTATAGTTGAATTTAGGTTTTTTTTTTTATTTCACGAAACCCTGTGTTTGATTTTTTTTATATAATTATAATTTCCATATAGATTGTTGGACACTCGCTTGGTGGTGGTATTGTTGCACTGTTGACATATAAGCTTAGAGAAATACAGCAGTTCTCTTCAAGCACTTGTGTCACGTTTGGCCCAGGCATGTAGTTATTATACATCTAAAGTTTTAATTTGTTCAATTGAGTAACCAATTTCTGTATTATATAATTTAATCATTATAAGAGAATATGGAGAAGTGTGTTACCAAGCATTTCTCGTTAAACGACTGTTGGTGGCATATGTTATTCCTAAATAACCAACGGTTAACCACTATAATTAGTTTATTGTCTATATTCTGTTTCAAACCATAAAAGTAAAACTTATAGTAAACCATTGTATATCCATATCTTTGTTTGGACAACATAAAGTATCTTTATATGTTAGGATGTTGTAATCTATTTAGACAGTGATATGAAATTTTAAATAAATATTAAATTACTATTATAAACATTGTGATCAGGTTTTGAGTGTGTAAAATAAATGTGATTTAAACATTTAATAATAAAAAATCCACACAAAATTTCAAATGAAATAGTTGTCCTAATTAAAATAGGACGCATTGAAAGTAGAGAGTAGAAGAAAATAATATATATATGATAAATGATGTAATGAAGAAGAAAAATATGGATAAAAAGAAAATGGGATGGAAATGAGAATGAAGAAAGAAAGTTCTAGTTGTTTATTTTAGTGTGAATATATATTGTACTTATCTTTTCTCAAATTTTGTCATAATCATCATTGTTAAGTCTATGTGTGACAATTGTTATTCATGCAGCTGCTTGTATGACATTGGAGTTAGTCGAATTTGGGAAGTCCTTTATCATTTCCGTTATAAATGGTTCTGACATGGTGCCTACATTGTCAGCTTATTCTGTTGATGACCATTTTTGAGGTGCTTAAACTAGTGACTAAGATGGCTGTTAGAAAATGATTTGTGTTTTTCATATTTTTCTTTATATTAATTTCTTAATTTCTGATGATGTTATATGTTAGAAAATGGTTCATTCT